TTGGAAACTTAATGGACTGAAGTTGGTCTGTTTCCTATATATGGCTTCAGACACATTATTTATATTATAGACTCTACGGTTACTATAATAAAAGACAAATGCATTTTTATTTTAAGCTTTACATTAATTTGCAAGTAAAATAAGGTTTGTATGTGCTATTTACAAATAAAATTAATGTCATATGAATAACGCACAATTTATTATATTACAATACCAGATTCAGTGTCTTAAGTTTTCAAAAGCACACAGAATGCATGGCAGAAAATCTCGTTGTAACAAACTTAAATGTTAATAAATAAAGTGGGAAAATGTGCAAAGAGATCCACTATTGGTAACGCACAATTTATTGTATTATAATTCCAGTTTCAGTCCTTTGAGTTTTCAAAAGTACGCACAATGCATGTCAGATAGTCTAGTTGCAAGAAACCAAATGTCACAAATCCAAACTGACAGAAACAGGTTAGAAATGAACGAGCGGCATGAGTGACAGTCATATTACAATTCCGACCGATGAGCCTTGCCGACTGATTCCGAGAGTCGTCGAATCGACGAATGGTCTTAGCTCCTATTGGCTAAGTGTTGACGAAAAGAATAAGAATCAGAATCAGAAGAAAAATCTACAATTTCTGACCGATTCATGACATGATATTATGATATCTCAGTTGTACGTAGACCGATTTTATTGATTTTGGTTTTATTAGAAAGGTTATATGCGATTTACATCAGAAAAATGCCTTTGGATTTGGAAAATACAGCAGGCGTGACGAGATATTAATGACAGCAGTTTCGGGTTAGGTTGAAATCGCAGTTTTACGAGTAAAAGATACGTGGTAGCGCCAGCGCCAGTATACACGGTGGCGTATAATTTTTCATGTACTTGGCGTCTAGATAAGAGTTTGTGGTGGGAATAATAGAAAGATAGATAAAGAATAGATAAAGAAATAGTATTTGTTGGTTGTTTCTAGTGAATCACACAGTGGGTCAAGGAACATGAGATAGCACTATAGCAGTCATCTAGAAATGTGTAATACCTAGACCAATCGGTTCTTTTGGAGGTTAATCGCTTTTTGTCTTTAAAAAATTGTGTTTTATCAGCAGTTAGTTGTATATTTATTGGATAATGATCCGAGCCCCAGGTGTCTTCGGAAATATTCAATTTAACTTTGTCATAGATATCTGGAGACGAGACGACAAGATCTAAGTTGGAAAGTTTTTTTCTATAGAAATCTATGTGGGTAAGGGAGTTATAATTTATTAGTATTAAGTCAGAATTATTTACGGAGCTAAGAAGATTAATTCCGTTTAAGTCATTTTTTGTGCAATTACGACAGACGTTATGCGAATTAAAGTCTCCAAAGAGAAGGCTTGGGCCATGAGAGTTTATATAATGAAAAAGCTGATCCCATTCTTGTGAGGAGGTAAGAGTTCCAGGAATTCTGTAACAGCCTACGAGGACAATTTCAGGAGATGTGTACAGAATTTTTATTCCTTCTACTTCCATTTTATCATTAGTTTTACAGAGGTTAGGAATCGTGGAAAAATTTAAAGATTTTCTAAATAAAAATACTGTTGCGACGGTATGAAGATGCCGCACTACAGCTCCGAGTTACATCGTCGCGACGATATGAAGTTGCGGAAACGAGTTCCCGCGCTTCCGGTTGCCAGGAAGCAGCAAACTTTTGAAATAGAAGAGAGCGCTTTGAGAACTCGAACAAAGAAGACGTTTCGTTATAAGTCTCTGAGATTATCGTTATATTGTTAAAAAGTTGTTAGTTCGTTAATAAACTTTATATTTAATTATAATGGATTCTCATGTTTCAACCCCCCGGCGTAACAATATTATTAATTTCATATTGCTTTCTAATACTGTAGCATACGAAATTCAAGAAGTACGAAAAGCGAGCGTACGAAAAGCGAGCGTACGAAACTTCTAGAACATAGGAGGGTTGCCGCCGCGCGGTGCGAGACGCGAGGCGCGGACCGCGAACTCGCGAACCTTCTCGCCTAACGACGCGACTATTGACAACCGCCGCCGCGGATAGCAACCATGCAATATGAATTGAGGGCTCATAGAGGCATTCGGCCTATTTGTCATTCCAGGAGAAAGGACGAGGTAAGACCATCGGCCGCTTTCGGAATTCGGCTTAGGGACTCCGGCAGGAGAGTTCGGCGATAATACCTGGACGCCTGTTGAGTAGGAGAGAACAGAACTCCTCGTGGACATCCCAGTTAGAGCTAGGGGGAGGTTATTCCTGGACGCCCGTTTGTTTTTGGAGAGTTCGGCGATAATACCTGGACGCCAATTACGACTGAGAGAGTACAGAATGATTCTTTTATGTCAAAGATTGAAAATGTTTAAATATTATAAAATGAGAAATTGGATTATGCTCTTTTGTATAATTCCGTTCATTCTGAATTCCTGTTACAATTATCCATTCCCAATCCTTTGTATAACCATGTTCCTCACAATAAACCTTTGTCTGTCCAGAATTCTATTCCTTGATTCCTTTACCATGACTACAATACTAATTTTTACTAATTTTGTTACTAATTATTCTACAAAGTAATAATTCGGCAGTATATGAAGCATTATTATAAAACACATTCACCGTCTACTTCAAGAATTGCTACCCACTTAGCAAACGATTGACTCCACGAGCAAAGAAGTACTGGGGTTCTTCGAAGCCTCCTTCGAGTATCCTCTTTCACAGTACCCAAGGGTTAATGAATAAAATCTCACTGTCGCATGTCGTCCGCTTCCTGGTTTGTTCTTCAAGCCTATGTTGCCAGATTAAAAATGAGCAAAGGACTCTCGATATTGACTTTCACTGATTGTTCCTTTGCCAAAGAGATCCTTCAGGCTACGAAATGACTGGGCTGCGGAATAAATGTTATCTCAATAAAAAATAAACGCAAATGACAGAACGGTACGGTAAAAAAACGTCGGATAATTATGCATCAATCCAATAGATTATATTATTTTATATACAGTTCATATTGTTGTACCATAAGTGCAGAACAGTTCAAAATGTATTACGTTTATTTATAATGTATGTATATATAATTTCTAGAAAACAAAGAGTACTGAATTAATATTCCCATTGATTTTGTTATAGCACGGAAAAAGACATCCTGGAAAGGACAAGGATAGAAACACCCAAAAAAGGATCATCATTTACAAAAGAGAATAATTAGAAATATTAAACCCATCACTAAACAGCATCCACCGAATCGGATAGACACAGTTCAATAAACGACGTTTTGTCAGATGTACTCATAAAACCTTTGCGTTCACGCAGTCAGCTTGTCGGTTCATCTTTTCTGATCGAATGAACGAAACGAGTGCAACACCCAGCATCACTAGGGTGATGAGGTTCGAAACGTGTCTGCCACCCAAGTTGTCGGAGCTTGGTGCCCTCATAGTTGACGTACACGACTCTCGACAGGTTTGCACTGCAAACATGTGCCGCAGTGCGTTAGGCTCGACAATATTCAGAACTTGTGTCGCGTTGGCAATAAGATGTCGATCAGGAAGCGGTGAATGCAGCGAATCTACATAAGTATAAATAGAAAACTGCGTAATCGTGTCTGGGCAAAAAAGTAGGGGCCCATAACCGCACAAATTTTTAAAAAGTATTCATTGTAGACACGTGTTCGACAGTTTTAATAATCGATTCGATAGACTCGATCGCAGAGCACGAATCAAAATTGTTGCCTTCTTATTCTGTAAACTAAACTTCGCAACCTAAATTCTATTATTTAATTCCAAGAGAAGGTAAATCAAAGACATAGAATAATATCCAGATAGCACAGGGACGTCTTATGTACGTCCATAAGACGTCCAGTACTGGACGTCCAGATGTCCAAACGTCCCTTGAACGTCCTGTGAACATCCTGTGAAAGTCCCTGAAACGTCCCAGTTATATCGCAGGACATCCCTAGGACGTCCGGCGTGGACATTCTATGTACGACCATGGGACGTCCGGTGCTGGACATTCCCAGAACGTTTTCTGTACGTCCATGGGACGTCCGGTGCTGGACATTTTCAGAACGTTTTCTGTATGTTCTCTGTACGTCCATGGGACGTCCGGTGCTATCTGGGATAATAATATTAGCTAATTAATTAATTAATTAATTAATTAATATTAATTTACAATTTTAAATAGTGTATTTCATATTCGGAAAAAAATATTCTGTTCTACATATTGAATAAATATTATATTATAAAGAATATTAATAAATAATATTTATTTTGTTAAAAAAAAAGTATTTTTCCCTAAATCTAGAAAGTTCAGAGCGGACATCCCTGAAACGTACAAAATTTAGGTCTGGGTTAGGTCGGGGACGTCCGACAACGGACGTCGACGTTTGGACGTAAACTGGATATAAAATGGACGTCCATGAGACGTCCGGTGCTATCTGGGTATTTTTTCTTACAGTGTTTGTTTCCGAAAATTTCGAAGCTGACGTCGTGTGGGATGGAATGTCATAAACAGTCACAAACAGAACTGTCAAACATACATAGTTTAATAGTACACAATAGTAATATAAGAAATTCATAACTTTTCTAAATGGGAACATTATTAAATCATCTGACATTACATGTGGAAGGTTCCATCGTACTCGGTAATGACAAATTGTGGTTGTGACAAATCACAAAATGTTTTGTTTACGCGACCTACTAGAAGAAATATTCTACATGATGCAAGAGGTTTCACTCCGATTCATCAAGCCATCTCGACGTAATCGGCAAACATATAAAAAAATTACGGTTTTTTTCCTAAAAAAAAACGGGTAAAAAATGACAAATCGCAAAAAGTCTTGATAGCAGGATCACCGGGGGAACATGCTCTACAAGATGCAACAGGTTTCATTCCGATTGGTCAAGCCATCTCGGCGTAATCGGTGAACTTACCTTAAAAAAAAAAATATACATGTCCAATTGAGTAACCTCCTCCTTTTCGAAGTCGGTTAATAAGGATATTTTCTTCCTTAGTATCTCATTTTAATCTTTGGGCGAGGTTATTTCTGAAACTTCACGTTGTCTAAAAAACAAAATGTTTCAAATAGAACTTACGATTAAATTGTATCTAATTCTCTAGATGGACGTGCTTTAGAGGTTACAAACTAACCGTTATTTTTTTTAATGGACCTAAAATATATATTTTCATTTATTATTTATTCTTTGAATTGAGGTATTCTCCCCCCATGCAGGTTATTCGCTTGGCCTAAACTTTAAATTCAACAAGCTCAATACAATTTGGTATATATACTCTTTCAGGTATGTGATAGAACTCACTAAAGTTATTTTTTTGTTTGTAATGATTTTTTTCGTGAAAGAGTTTTCTATAGTTGTTGGTAGTACTGATCACTCACGAGAGTTAGTTTTAGTTTTTGTTTTGAGTATGTTGATACGGTTTATGATCTCCTATAAGATTTATGTTCGACGTTTTCTCATGTATCATTTTTCTTTATTAATACTAATAAATATATTGATATAGTAAGGATGGATTAATTCTTACTGAAACTCTCCATCAGTAATACGTTCTGAAAACGAGTAACATTGATTTCAAACAATGGTATGTTATCAGGTTTTCTTTTAGACTTGGACACAATATAACTGGAACTTTTACAAAACTACATCAAGCTTACGGAGATAGTATTTTACGAAGAGCACGGGTTTTTCAGTGATTTAAGGTATTTTATCTTCAAGAACCGATAAAAACGTCGAAAAGAAACGGTGTCTTGTGTATTCGGATCGTCGGTTAACAATCAGAATAATCGGGGAAGAGTCTTCTGCCGTTAACGTTACGTTACACTAATTTAATTATAATATTTTAAAATATATTAATACTGCTACGAATAATACGGAACAAGTTCAATGATCTAGTAGCGGAGAATTAATTAAATGAAGCAGTGATCTATAATATCGTTATTAATAATTGAATTGTAAATATTTTTTATTACACGTATGTTCTTCGTATCATTATTACAGAGTGACTTTCTTTTATATTTGTTAATGCTGTTTATAAAGGATAACCGACTATTCGAATTTTCTTGATAAATTATATTAATATAATTTTCAACGAATACCGAAATATTTTAGTTAGTAATTACGTATCTTTTTATTTATTAACAAGTTCCCCTTTAAATTCTGCAATTATCATCTAATATTAAATTTGTATCCTTTTTATTTATAATCATATAAAACCACATCAGTTTGACTTATTATTAGTATTTCTCTGTCATGTTCAATTTCTGGGGTCAGCTCTAAAAGGGTTAAACACCAATGAAATATAAAATATCACTTGTACATATCTATTATGCCATGCGCTGGTTCGAAGCGTGAACTTTTCGTCAAGATCGATAAGATTACGATGGAATGCTGGCAATTTGCACGTATTTCCTGGAATAATTCTCCTCTAAAATTGTAAATGTGATACGCAGCGGTTGCATAACCATGGGTGTTTCGGTTCGATGAAATCTCTTTTAAGTGAATACGAACCGGCGGATACGCGTTAGTCCGCGACCAACCTTTCGACGTGACTTTCCAACGATCAAACCCGTTCCTTGATAAGATCGTCGGATGGCGTTACGTTCAAGCAGGTATGCGCACATAATCTCCGATGCTGTTGCACACACGAGGCGGCGGGTGGCGATTTTTCGACTCGTTCCAAGGGACTATCCTTGTGCGATGCGGTAGCGCGGGAAAATGTGCTTAACGGGGTATACTTCGAGGTACTATCTTTA